TTTACAGGAGAAAAGTTCCAGGTTCCTTTAGGATGGCTGCCACATGTAAATTTAAATTAATATTTGTAGTTTTCTGTGTCTGAATTATATATGATTTGTCAGAGACCTGACTAATAATGATTTGAAAGATGGAGCTTACAATGTATGGATGACTTGAGGTGACAATCTTGAGAAAGCATTAATTCTGGGATAATAGAAGACACCTTGCAAAGGACAGAGTGGGACTGGGGTATCCCCTGGAGTCTTGGTGGCAAAAGGAAAGAAGAAAGCAGCTGAAGATAAGGGCACTATGGGAGGGTAATTTTTTTTTTTTAAAGACAAATTTTGTTCCCCCCACCACAAGTGCCATTTATTTTAAAAATTACACTTCACTGAAGCCACAGAAGAGGGTGCTCTTGAACTGAGAAACCTAGTAAGTCAACTTACCTCCCTTTGCCCTCCATTGCAAGATAACTTGTTATTGCTGATTCTGAAAAAGCCAATACAAATAATCCTTGACGGAAAAAGAAGCCAGCACCTCTGCAAAGTTACAGTAAGTATAAAACAAAATTAAAATCAAGCTTTCTTAGTAAATTACACACACACACACACACACACACACACACACATACACAGAGAGAGAGAGAGAGAGAGAGAGAGAGAGAGAGAGAGAGAGAGAGAATAAAAGCACAAATAAAAAGAAATCAAAGAAAAATTACAAAACACGAAAACTGAAATGAAACACCTGAACATGAATAACCTATATTAAACAAGCAATTGCATTATGAAAGGACACCATGAATCAGACATTCAAAAACTCACAATTGAAATGGACAAACAAGAAGATATGTGAAACAGCAGCTGACTGAACTTGGGAAAGTAAATGGTGAAAAAAGACAAAAAACTTCTCAGAAATGAAAAGTGAATTACAAGGTAGACAGGGAAGATAGATATTCTAAAAGTTCAATAAGAGACATAAAGAATAGAAAGAGCCAAGAAAATGAAACTGAAATAAGAGAAATAAAAAGGATCAGAAAGATAATTTTCCATATATTTAGTTCAATACTTTGAACTATGAAAGAAATGGAAAATTAACAGATATGATATTTAAAATTATAATAAAACTTTTTTGAAATAAAATGAGATCTGAATTTCCATATTGAAAGGACTCCTGTTCCTTGTATGCCTCGGAAGCTTGATCTGTAACAATCAACTTTTAAGCTATATGTATCTTAGTATCAGACCTTAAAACAAAATGGAGAAAAAAAGGGTGTCTGAGCTTCTAAGCCAAGAAATTAGGAATTTAAAAATTACACACTTCTTGATATCAAAATAAAGCAAGAAAACAATAGACATGTGTTTTTAAGAAATTATAAAAATGAGTAATTATTTTAATTGATTGTAAAACATTAGATAAGTAAAAATACTTATATGTCCATAGTGACACTTAAGATTACTTGTGAATTACATTTGGGTAAAGTGGTACAGTTATTAAGAAACATTTCAGACGTATCCTTGTTTGATAAATATTTTGCTGAAATATTTAGATGTGAACTGTCATGATATCTGCAGCTCACTTTCAAGTGATCCAGTGAAAATAATAGAAAAAACATACAGACATGTTTGGAATTTTTCATAACAGCTACATGGCATTTTAAAAAGTTATTCAAAGCAAATTGCCAGATTTCAAATATTTTTATATACCTAAAGAGTATCTTTTATATTGACTGAGAGACATTTTATGAGGAAAAAAAATGCATTTTATCTTAGACATTGTTATTTTAGATTTTTGGAATAACCAATGAAGAATGACTTTTTCATATTTGTTTTATACTTTTAGTATTAGTATCAATGATTTAATTTTTATTTTTTCAGCAGATATGTATTAAAACTGCTCGTGCCTTAACAGGAATTGAGGCAGTGGAAACAAACCGCAGAAGTGGTCACTGTGTTCTTCCCACCACTGACCACAGTAGAAAAGAAACAAACAAAAATACATCATTTATACTTAAGAATGTCCTTGATGAGGAAGGAAAAAATACTGAATTATTTGCTTTTTTATTCTTGAGTTGTATTTATATATTCTTAATACAAGTCTCTTTTTGGTTGTATGATTTGCAAAAATTATCTCCCATTCTGCATACTTTTTTTTTTTGCTTTCTTGATTCTGTCCTTTGAAACAAAAACGTTTTAAAATTTGTTGATGTCCTTACAGTTTGTCTATTTTTTCTTTTGTTGCTCTGTGTGTTTGTGTGTGTGTGTGTGTGTGTGTGTGTGTGTGTGTGTTTCCACCCCCCTCCGAGATGGATTCTTGCTCTGTTGCCCAAGCTGGAGTGCAGTGATGTGATCTCAGCTCACTGCAACTTCCACCTCGCAGGTTCACAAGCAATTCTGCCTCAAGCCTCCCGAGTAGCTGGGGTTACAGGCACGCACCACCACACCCGGCTAATTTTTTTATTTTTAGTAGAGACAGGGTTTCACCATGTTAGCCAGACTGATCTCGAACTCCTGACCTTAAACGATCCACCTGCCTTGGCCCCCGATAGTGCTAGGATTACAGGGGTGAGCCACTGCACCTGGCCTGTGTGTGTTTTTTATACATAATGTGAATAAACTTTTAGAAGATAATGATGTGAAATGCTTTAAAGCAACTTGGATTTTTTTGGTCAATATTTATTTTATTTTTTAATTGAGGTAAAAATACCTAATACTAATAGGTATTAATTTGCTAGGGTTGCCATAACAAAATATCAGAGACTAGGTGGCTTAAACAACGTAAATGTATTTCCTCACAGTCTGGAGGCTAGATGATGTCAGCAGGATTGATTTTTTTCTAAGTTCTCTCTCCTTGACATGTAGATGGCCATTTTCCTCTAGTGTCTTCATGTGGTTTTTACTGTCTTGGTGACCTACTCTCCTTCTCTTAGAAGGATACCAGTCATATTTGACTAGGGTCAATAGGGTTGACTCTATTATTACTTAGTAAGATAATTACCACTTTAAAGACCCTGTCTACAAATGCAGTCACATTCTGAAGTACTGGTGGTTAGGCTTCAGAATGTGAATTTTGGGGTTTGTTGAAGGGCACAATTCAGCCTATAGCAAATACGTAACATAAAATGTACCAATTTAATTATTTTTAATTATGCACTTCAGTGGCATCAAATATACATTATTGTGTACCTATCACCACCCCCCATCCATCTCCAGAACTTTTTTCATCTTGTGAAATGAAACTTTACCTGTTAAACAATTGCTTCCCAGAGTCCCCTCCTCCCAGCTCCTGGCAGCCACCATTCTACTTTCTGTCTCAGTGAAACATGTTTTAAGGCAGTTTTTTTCTCTCATTAGTGAGAATCTTCAAAGTTCTCTCAAGCTAGTTATTTTTATGCAAATTCTGCAAGATATCCACAAACTTTTACCTAGATAAGAGCTTCTTGAAGTTCTTAAATCATATGCAAAAGTTTGTCTTTTTTTCTATATCTGCCTTTTTCTTGGGAGAGATTCCAGAGTTCTCATTAGATTCCTTAACTGAAGCCCTAGATACTTAGCCAATCTTGTTTCATTTATTTTTCAAGATAATTAAAGTTTAGTAATTTTTAAGTTGATAAGTTGATGTGTAATTCACAGAAAAAAAGGTAAAATAAAGTTTAAATGTCTTAAGGTTTTATTGTCTTGAAATCAAATGTTTATTTGCTATTTCTGTTGTAACCAAGTGTGTCACAAGGAATGCGCCACACTCTGAGTTCCAAATTAAGAGTCCTTTATTAGCCAGCGACCAAGTGTCTGCTCATGCTCAAAATCTCTCGGCTTTGAGGAAAGGGCTTGATTTCCCTTTATACCTTGATTTAGGTAGGGGGAGCCTAGCTGAAGTGGAATTTTACAGAAGCGGAAAGAGCAAGTTAGTAGGAGGCATTAAGGCAGGTAGCAGGGGAGCTTTCCATACAATCACTAAGGTGGGTGTCAGGTACTTTCTACACAATAATCAAAGGGGAGTTTTTCACAATAGCAAGTGGGCTTGCCAAGCGGGATATGGCCACAGGTACTGTGAACAGTGTGAACCACTCTTAACGGTTCAAGGCTTTGAGTGCAGTGTGACCCAGTAATGCACCTGAGGGACCGTGGCAGGGAGGGAGAGGCTTGAGAGAGCTTGTCAGGTTTGCAGCTAAGATGGAGTCAGTTAAGCTAGTGCAAGTTAGGTTATTGCATTTCTAAAAGGGTCAATCATTTTAAAAATCATTATACCACATTTTCTTCATTTGAAAAGTTTTAATTTACTGTTTCATATTATACTAGGTATGTATTATATCAACTTTGTATCTCATTGTACATGTAGATATTAGAAATATTTTCTACATAAAATAACCTCTTAGGATTGCTTTTATTTCATTTTATTCATGTATTCATGATTCAGTCAACAAACATTTGAGTCTTTTTGATAAATATTAGATATACAAAGAAGAAGAAGACATGGTTTTTATCTTCAAGGAAGTAAAAATAATATACCTAGATGGCTATAAAATAATAAGAGAATTGGTGGTTGTTCCAAACAGATATAACAGCATGGGGAAAGTAAGAGACTCCTGGAAGTGCAAGGCCCAATGGGGTGTGGCCAATAGTTAAAAATAACTAAAACAATAGACTGTTAAGTAGAGAAAGAGTTGCTAGAGATGAGGCTTGAGTTTGGTTGGAGCCAGGTTTTGGAGACCTTTATGAAAGAAGCACCCTCTTTTGAACAGAGTCCTGAAACGTTTTTGTCTCAGAGAGAAAAACAGGATCTGAGACCATTAAATAAGGTTAGCTAATTTTATTGCATAGTTATTTAATGTAGTGTGAATACCTTTATAGTCATTAAAAGTTTTTCAGTGGTAGTTTTTCAAAGATTATTGATAAATACTGATTATTTCCAAAACTTACATATATGCATTTTAATATATTTTATATTTGACATATTTAAATATTTGCCATATTTCAAGATAGTATTTGCCTTAGCTTTGTGTTTTTAAATTCTCTTTTGTCAGCTATAAGGAAGACCAGATGGGTGAGGAACTAATGGAACCTCTGAAATATGCTGAACAACTTCCTGTAGCTCAGATAATACACCAGGTTTGCATTTTATTTTATTCTTTTGAAAGAAACAAGATTTTTAATCTCTGAAAAGTAATTGCTTTTGTTAGGTTTTTCAGAATCAATGTGCTGTAGTTAAAAGGCATTCCGGGCTGTCTATCTCTATTTAGACTACCCCTATTACAGTTCAAAGTCCCACTCAAAGCACAGTATTAAAGGCTACTTGCTGTTTAAATCTAGAATTCTTACTTACATAAAATATGGGATAAAATAAGGATTATCTTTTGTGTATTATTTAATTGCAATATTTAATTTCAAAAAACTTTCATTTGACCCACTGTTTATAGTACTTAGTGACAAGGAAAAAGAGCTGCAAAAATATCATTGGGTGTAATTTTTTGGAGTCGCTAAAAAGAGAAAATAATCTTGCCCTACATCCTTTACCCCACCCCATTATCAACCCTTATAAAGTGTAATTCTGCATGTCATGTGGGCAATTTGTTCATTTCTAATTGTAATGATTCTGTCATTCTTTCTACATAACTATAATCTTTGAGAAAGCAGTATTGTAAGTATGTAAGCTTCGACTTTGTACTATAATTTGACAGCATATAACCTCTGCCCTGCTAGACCAGAATCTAATGATTTTAAATGGTCTGTTGACTAGAGTTATAGCCTTTAGGCTTAGCAGAGTTTTCAGAGCCTTACATATTATAGTAAATATTAAAAGCCCTTAAATGACAGAGTTTCTCAGAATTGTTATGAATGTTGATTGTTATTGTGAGTCTTTCCGTATGCCTTTTTCAATCAAAATAATTTTGATGTAGCTGATATGTATTGGTTAGAAGTGCCAGTTTGAACTTTATTAAAAGAAACAGAGGCTTTTACTTTAAAATGTTAGCTATATATATTTTTCATTGACATTAAAATTTAGTATTGCAATTCTGTGAGAAATTACAAAAAATGACAAAAAATTTGCTCCTTTGGGAAGCTCATCTGTGCTTGGTAATCAGGTCCAGTTTATATGTCAGGAATTCCCTAGTGTTGTCAGAGCTTAAATGACCTAACAGTCTGCAAATGTCACATTTAAAATTCTGTCTTCATGCCTGACTCTCAGCATAAATGAATTAAACAGCAGAGCAGGCAGCAAGTCAATATGCTCTTAACACTAAGAGTGAGCAATGAAACAGTTTGTGGTTTGCTCAGAATAGGTAAATAGAATCTGCCCAGAACAGTTCACCTAGAATAAAATCTGAAAGAGGAAACAAGAATTAACCTTTTAGATGGTTGACCAGATGGAATGTCAGTAATATTTTTATAGCATGAATGAACCAATAAACTACCTGGTTTATGTAACAGCTGCATTTTGCTATTATACACGGTGTGAATTCCAAGATAAAAATTTTTGACCCTGGTGAAAATTTTAGATTGTGAATTTTTTTTTACTGATATAAGGGGTGTTACTGTATATAAAAACACATCTAATTTTTTAAAGGATTTATTAAGTCTGTTACTATTTAGAAAATTAAGAAATAACAGAAAAATACATATAAAGTAAGTGGTTTTGTTAACCTTGCATGCTTATGTTGAGATTTTCCCCTTTAAAGGGAAATTATTTTTTCTTTACATTTGTCTCCTAGGAAGGGAAATACAGAACTATTGTGTCTTGTCTTACCTGAGACAGAGATAGAGAGAAATGGATGGTTTTTCCATATAAGTAAATTTACATTTACTTCACAGATATAAATTTTAATATGAAACCACTTTTTAAAAAATAACTTAAATTTTGAGTCAAGATATGAAATTAGTGAATATAATACAGTATTTTTATGGAAATTGATTTTTTTTCTTCCTTGTAAAAAGGACCACTTGCGGATGAGTCAGATTTTATATGTGTATGTATATATGTGTATGTATATGTCTGTGTGTATATATGTGTATATATTTACAGTAACCTTAATTTGTAAATATGAAGACTTGATTAGCATCATATAGTGTCCATTGGATTATATAATGACAATTAGTGATTAAAAATGGACACAGTCTTTTTTTAAAAAAGAATTGTGTATATAGTTAATAATATACATTAGATTCAAATACAAATGTTAAACTTTCTTTGAAGTAAAATATTTTAGAAATGTGCTAAAAAATGAAAAGATCAGTAATGAAAGAATATATATAATTTAGCTGTTATGATCATAATGCTTTTCTGTAGTCTCATCTAGATAGGCATGTCTTTTTATTTATTTCATTTTGTGTCTGTAATCAATTTTAGCTACCCCTGACAGGTATAAAAGTATTTAGGCTAGTACTGCTTAGAAAATATAGAATGTGGCACTAATGTAAAAATGTAGGTAGATCTTATAAGCAGACTATATATGAGCAGAATAGATAGATTACCTAGATAACCTTGTATTACTAAGAGTTTTCTAGAGGGACAGGATTAATAGGATAGATGTATATATGAAAGGGAGTTTATTAAGGAGCATTGACTCACACAGTCACAAGGTGAAATCCCGCAGTAGGCTGTCTGTAAGCTGAGGAACAAGGAAATCAGTCTGTGTCCCAAAATCTCAGAAGTAGGGAAGCAGACAGTACAGCCTTCAGTCTTTGGCTAAAAGCCTGAGATTTCCTGTCAAACCACTGGTATAAGTCCAAGAGTCCAAAAGCTGAAGAACTTGGAGTCCAATGTTCGAGGGCAGGAAGCATCCAGTGAGGAAGAAAGATGAAGGCCAGAACACTCAGCCAGTCTAGTCCTTCCATGTTCCTCTGCCTGCTTTTATCCTAGCCATGCTGGCAGCTGATTAGATGGTACCCACCCAGATTGAGGGTGTGTCTGTCTCTCCCAGTCCACTGACTCAAATGTTAATCTTCTTTGGCAACACCTCCCACAGACACACCCAGGAACATCCTTCAGTCCAATCAAGTTGACCCTCAGTACTAACCATCACAAACCTAGATACTCTAAAATGTATACGGTTTATATAAATGATAAAGGTGATATACAGATCAATGGGAAATTAAAAGATTATTCAATAAGTTATACTGAGACGATTGATTAACTACTGAAGGGGGATACCGTATTCTTGCATCGTAATACATGGAAAAGTATATTCTAATGAGATTAAACTTAATGCAAAAAATGCGAAATAGCAAAACAATTAGAAAAGTTTGTTGGCAAAATTTTTTGGTAAGAACTTTCTAAGCATGAAAATTGTGGCAAAAACTTAAAAAAAAAAAAAAAACCCACCATAACCAAGCATGTAATTGTACCTGCTCAGGAGGATGAGGCAGGATACCCTGAGCCCAGGAGTTCGAGGTTACAATGAGCTATGTCACACCGCTGCTCTCCAGCCTGGGCAACAGAGTAAGAGCCTCTCTCAAACAGGAAGAAAGAAAAGAGAAGAAAAGGTAGATATCAAAGTGGATATTTTCTTCATGGAATCAACATCTTCGTATATAAAGAGCTCTTATACAATGACAAGAAAAAAAACAACATCCTAATGAACTTACACAAAGAACTCACACAGACATGCCTCAAAAGTTGAAATATCAGAGGGTAATAAGCTGATAAAAACATGTTGATGTTCATTAATGGTTAGAATTATTTATTTTTATCAGAAAGTTCCATTTTTTAACCTCTTAAGCAAAGATGTGAAATCGTAATAGTAATACTCAGTGATGACTGAGGCAGTGATACTACTGGAGGGAAGTATAAATTAGCATAAATTGAGGGCACTGTGGTAATTGGTACCAACATTTGCAAATATGTTTACAAACTAGTTAAGTATGACAGCTTGAAGACATATTTTTATGCTTTACCTTCCTGCAAAACACTACTAAAATGAGAACAAAGATATAAAAATAGATAAACCCCCAAAGACAAAGAAAATGGAAAAAAGAGAATGACAGATGAGAGTGGTAACACAATTTGGAAAAAAGAAAAGTCATTGGATAAATGATAACCAGTTTAGCAGAGTGGAAAAGCTGAGCCCTAACTTCTGACATGCTGGTTTCTACTGCAGAACCCTGGGAGGGTAGGTACCAGGCACCTCAGAGTTTGGGTCCAAAGAGAAACACCCCATTGTCTTCCTCCCAAGTGTCTTCCTCGTATTTAACTTTCAGAATACTGGCATATAGGCTTATATTTTATTAGCAGAAGATTGAGGGATTCCTCCCCAAAGATACCAGTCAAACCAGAAAGCAGTAGAGTGATGTCTTCAAAATTATGTGAGAAAATAATTTCCAACATAAAGTGAACATTACCCTGTTCACTTCCAAATTATGGTTTAAGTATCATGAAATAGGACAGACATTCCAACTCTCAATAGACAATTTTTCTTATTTATCCTTTGTCAAGAATCTACTTGAGATTCATTAAATGAAAGAGTAAACCAAAAATCCTGAAGGGACGTCATCCAAGGCACAAGAGACTGTGCCATCATGGTGAGATGCTAGCGAAATTCCCAGGTTTATGATGAAGCGAGTCTTCAGGTGACAACTGTGTAGAAGTTTAAAGACTAAAGAGTACAAACTGGAGCAAGACCATGAAGGATTCCAAGATGGGTGTCTGCAGTTGGTGGAGTGGTGGCAAATTATCTAATGTGTTTGACCCTGTTAAAAGAAGTTTTAAAGTTGAGTAGATTTAGTTAGAGCAACATAGAAAATTAAATGAACAGGGTAATGAAGTCACTATTAGTTTCAGTAAGAAAAGTTATATTAATACAAGAAAAGATATCAATATTTAATGTCTCAAACAATAGTTAACATAGTAATAATTATGAAACAATTATTGAATGAAAATGTGTGACAGTAAATATGATGACTGGACTGTAAATATGACTCGACTATACTATGCTATGAAAGCATCAGAGGCATGGTGTGAACTCAGTAAACTAAGTACTGAATTTAAACCTCCCAGGAGTCTCTCTGTTCTTGGTCCTGACGATTATAATTTCTATTTGTGACACTAAATTTACCTTTACTATCTCAGCTTTCAGCTTCCTATATGAAGCAAGCGCACACACACACACACACAC